TTCATAAGTCCAACGACAAAGATCAATTGATTATTTTTATAATTTTTTCATCGTCGACGATGATTTCCGAATGCGAATCACTTTGGTTATTGATATATTTTTTGTTTGAATTTTTTTTTCTTCATATTTACATAATCATTGTTTTATTCCTTTTGGATTTTGTTTGTATTTACATTTATTAAGTCTTTTAAGTTATTTGGAATTTAATTCCTATTTGCATCATATTTTTTTGTATATTCCATTAATGTTTTTAAGAACCAATTATTATAATTTTATTACTACACACATTATTATTTCGACGATGCTTTCGAATGTGAATTATTTTGATAATTGTTATATTTTTTGTTTGAATTTTGTTTTTTCGTCATATTTACATAATCGTTGTTGTATTCCTTTTGGATTGTTTTTGTATTTACATTTATTTTGTTTTTTAAGATTTTTGGAATTTAATTCCTATTTGCATCATATTTTTTTGTATATTCCATTAATGTTTTTAAGAACCAATCATTATAATTTTATTACTACACACATTATTATTTCATTTTTTATTATTTGCATAATTTTTTAATTCTGCTTTCGTTATTTATTTTCTTTTGTCTATGATTTGCTCGATATTTATTTATTTTATGATATTTCTTTATTTTATTTATTAGTTCCCACATTTAAACATAGATGCTTTCCGAATGTGAATTACTTCTAAGATTTTTGCACTTTTCAGACAATAAAATGCCCCTGAAGGTGATCGTATATATAAAATACGTAATATAATTGATAAAATTGTAAACCGTTTTCAAAATGTAATGGAACCAGGCGAGGTATTGGCCGTCGATGAGACAATCGTACCTTTTCGTGGCAGATTATTATTTAGACAATATATACCGGGAAAAGCTCATAAGTACGGTGTAAAATTTTTTAAACTTTGCGGATCTAATGGTTATACTTATAACGTTCAAGTTTTTGGAGGAAAGAGTCAAGTGGATGGAAAGGGATTGGGTTGTAGAGTTGTTCTAGATCTATGTAGAAAATATTTAAACATGGGACGTACAATGGTCACGGATAATTTTTACACTTCAATTACACTTGCAAGCGAACTTTTAACTAATGATACACACTTAGTAGGAACTCTGCGATCAAATAGAGTAAAATTACCTGAAATAACAAAAAAAATGTTAAGTCCCGGGGAAATAATCGGAAAGGAAAATTCAGACGGTATTATTGTTGCGAAATTGCGTGATAAAAGGGATGTAACTGTTGTCGACAAAACATAATATTGATATGATTGACACAGGAAAAAAGAACAAAAAAAAAAAAATCGATAATTAAGCCTAAGATAATTGTCGACTACAACTCCGGAAAAGCGGGAATTGATCTATCGGATCAACTGTCTAGCTATAGTACAGCTGTTCGTAAGTCTATACGTTGGTACCATAAGGTGGCGACAGAAATACTGTTTGGAACTGCTATGGTAAATGCTTTCATAGTTTACAATACAATTAATTCTGATAAAAAAATGAAGATAATACAATTTCGAAAAATATTAGTTGATACAATATTCGGATTAGACAATCAAGGACCACAAGAAGTTCAACAAGCAAGAGTTAACAGCAAACACATATTCCAAGAAACAATAGAAAAATGTGGTAGAAACAGAAAAATCAGAAAGAGATGTTTCCACTGCTATCAAAGTAGAACAGGAATAGTTGGATCGAAACAGGCATCGAAGGAAGTAAAAAAGATAACTACTTTCTGCGCACCATGTAAAACTTATACGTGTATAAGTTGTTTCAATCTGCATCACACAGTCTAAGGGTTTTAATTATTTTTTACATATATATTTATAAATACGTCTTGATAATTATGTTTTGTATTATATTTATAATTTTTATTATGTTTATATTTAAGAATTAAATTTGGAAACATATTATTTGAATAAAAAAAGTAATTGAATTTTTTTTATATGCTTATTGTAGTGATATTTTACGTATAATAATAAATGTATATAAAATAATCGGTTTGCGGCGAATAATATGTCATTTTACGCGAAATTTTCTCCTCTACGCCATCATTTAAACATTATCTTCATAATTTTGACACCACGAAAAGTATTCCCCTTTACAAATAAGTGTGTTTATGGCAGCCCGCGGTCATATGGCGTATAAATAATACAAAGGTGCGACCGCCGGCGTCCGTAAAAATACTGTTGTATGCTAGTAGTCTGCGGATGCCGGCGGCCGCATGGCAGTCAACGTGTTAAGAAGATAAATGTATATACGAGCATGGAGATGATATTTTTTAATTTTTTTTTTTTAGAGGTAAAGAAGTATTTATTTTTTTATATTAAAAAACTCGCAATGATTAAATTTAGACCAAAAAATGTAACCATTGGCGTGTCAAAACAATAAAAATATATTTAAAACTAAAATAAAAACATATATGTAATATTATTGTACTGCACACTGCTGATACTGTTGGTATTGAGTACAAATCGCATGACTTTTTTTATACAAACATGAATTCATTGGCGGTATAGTCCATCTGAAGAGGGGGACAGTGCCCACCCGTTTCCTTCCGTAAACAAGCCTATGATTACACGTGCTTATATTGTTGTAAGTTATTACTACAGTGGATTAATGGATTCATTGGATACTCGAATACGAGTTAGTGCTTATGTGTGTGTGTGTGTGTGTGTGTGTGTGTGTGTGTGTGTGTGTTAGTGTATGTGCGATTACTTAAACCATATGCGTGTACATATTTAATACCATGGTTATACGATCAGATACGTAGTTAGTAAAGTACACAGATTTTATAATTTAATCGTATACCATTAACATTAGGGTAAATAGATCGATTGTAGATCACTGTTTTACATTTAAAAGATTACTTAATGTTTAAAGATTTCTCAAAGCGAATACATTTAGTACGGCCTTACAACGTAACAATTGATTTAAAAGTTCTCGTTTGGAATTATTCGCCATGATCCTGTGTAAAATAAGAATATTCAATGTATATTTAACTATGTGAATAATATTGGTGATTATAAAAAATCGTCCGTAAGATAATAATAATTTAATGATAAATAAAACTTCTATTTTTACTCACTAATTGACTTTATTTGTTTTACAGATTTATATTGAAAATAAATAGGCATAGTGTTTATAGGAAAGTCACATACAATAAACTGATCAATGAAAAAAGCTCGTCGAATTTTGACATTGATAATACTGTAAAATAATACATTTACATTAAGTATATTATGATAACACCATTACGTGGAACGGATACCGTGCGATTTCCATTAAGTTCTTTATGCATTTTCACGAAAAGGATACAAAGCATCATGAGGGTTAGGTAATTGTTATTTCTTAATTATTACTATTATTACTGTTATTATTTAGTGTAACATTACAAATAGTTATAACAATACATTTAAAAAATAAAAATAAATAATACTCGTATTTTGCATCTACACGTTATATAATATTATTACTAAAATAAAGTAAACAAGAAAATTCTCGGTTTTATCCATCTACAGTCACAGAATTATAACTTACTCGTATATAGCTAACGCATCTATTATATATATATATATATATATATATATATATATATATATTACTTTATAATTTTTACATATTATATTTCCATATATTCGTATCTTAATTGCAGTGTTTATAATTATAGTACTACCTATTATAAGTAATTGATTATGATTGGTTTTAATTGTTTTAAAATTAATCGTTAAATAAACTTATTTTTTAAATGTATAATCTCCAGTAATACAGGTATTAAGTAACTATTTTTTTCAGCTAGATCAATCGATTTCAGCGTCAAGTACATATTTTAAGGATGCTAGAATGTTAAGGTAAGTAAATAGTAAACTAATTTTAATGAAAAAAAAGCTGTATGTATTTTTGTGAAATAATTCGAAATTTAATTTCCTGTTAAAACATTAACAAGTATATTTTTTGAAATCTGTCATAATTTTTGATGATTAAAATACATCCAAAATTTGACTTCCAAAAATACTCAGTCGATTTTGAATATATAAAACCATATTACGATTTTGATTATTTAAAGTATCGCGAGGAAATATTAACTGATTGTAATTTAAAATTTAACTTTCGAATTTTCTACTTGGGGTCGAGTTAACATTCTACAAACAATTTCCAAAAATTAAAAAAATAAATGTAGAAAATACCTCTACAGAGTTAAAAAAATTTGGATGTTCGTGCATCCTTTCTAATCTGGGAGTTGTGAATTACAGCTGATTAATATAATATTAATACGAGTAAATAAAGTATTTCCGTTGAATATATTCATATGTTTAGTATAAAATGTAAAATGAGTTCCAAATAAATAACTTCAAACGTAATCTATATGAAACATGTAAATATTGAAATTTCGAAGCGTTTCTATGTTCGTGATAACCCTGTGTAAGTGTCATTAATTGTTAAGTTTTCTGTATGTTATAGAAAACGGTACGAAGAAATTTTTAATTTATTGTACAGTTATGTACGCGGTTCAGTAAATTAAGTAAATTTGACGCGTTTTAGAAATATACGATAAAATTAAAAATACTTTTAAACGATAATATATACGATTACACGAGTGGCCAAATTAATAAGCAGGATACTACGAAATGAATAAACAAATAATCAATATTTTTTGCGTTCTCAGACCACCAAGTATATTAAATCAAATTTATGATGCTAGCACAACAAACAATTAAAAGTTTTTTTTTTTTTACTGCATTGAAATACATTTGAGTTTGATAATTTCACGCGCAAATTATGTAGTCTGTATTTTAAAAAGAATATGTATTATTTTATTAGTATAAAATGAACCATATTATAATTTAAATGAATACATTAATACATTTTATACTTTTATACATCTGTACGTATATTAGTTTTACTCTTTTTTTTTTCAATAATAGTTATGTGTATGAAAACTTTTTTAAAAGAATTCTTTTCATTTTAGAAAGACATCTTATTCATGTATATACTATTTTATTGAAATTTGTATAAATAGCAAAAATAATAAACTTTGTTTTTATTCATTAAGTGGACGGATCCGTATCTAATAGAATTATTTCACAAATGTTTGTATAGAAATGCGCGTGCTGTTGAAACGCACTGTGTATTAAAGTAAATCACTGAAATATAAATACATAATAATAATGTGAAATACCTTCGTGATAAACGGGTAATCATAGAAAAACACACATTAAGAGGAGAGAAGAGTGATGTATTTTTACTCGTTAAAAAAAAAAGAACACAATTGTTGAAAACCGTTAAATCTCCCGCAGTCAATGTAAATAAAAATCCAGAACTGTCCACCAAAAAATTATTTTTGACACGTATTGGAATGTAAACATGTAGAGGTACAATTAGGCGAGAGTTTTAACAATTATTATCGTGAATGAATTTGTTTCATATACATATACATATTAAACGAAAGCGGCGATAGTACTAAAGATCACATGTAATACGCTTATAAATAAATATTTATGTATAATATACTTAAGTCTATTACTATGTTGCAGTACGCTGTAAAACATAATGTATGCAGGGAAGACACGATCTTTACTCATGAAGTATGAGTAGGTATACAGAATGAAAAACATCCTATTATAGTTTTTATTTATGACGACGTCGAATAGAGCAGATCCGTCAAAAAGATTACGCGTTTGATATTATGTTTATTTAAGAAGATTTCTGGTCCTCTGATTAGCCACCGAAATCCGCACTTCATTTGACTTAGTCTGAAATCAAACACAAATTCATGAAACGTATACGTTTTATACCGAAATCATTTGGCACACAGGTTCATCATATATTATATATATAGAAAATTAATAATAAGTCATTAGGACTTGGATGTGGGGCTATAATATACTCTTGTATACTTGTTTATTTTATTATTTTGCTCGTGCGTGTGTGTTATCCATTATTGACCCTAAGCTTAAAAAAATATATAGCAGAGGGTAAAATTGACCTACTTGAAATGTCTATAAAAAATTGAAACGACACACCTGTTGAAGCGAACGTTTAAAATAAGTTATAGAATATAGGATACGTATTTTAAGGAGTTTTTCTTTCGAAGATCTTATGATGATTTGAAATAATACTGTTAGCTTTATTCTTTATTTTATGACACCAAAGAAAATTGTAGTGTATGCATGGAAGAATTCATGGAATAGAACTGTTTAAAAATGTAAATAAATGTAAATGATATCTAATGAGGGAAGTTTTACCCCTAATCTGGATTCATGTATGTACTAAGGATTAACATGTGAAAATATATTCTTTACACTTTAAAAGACTCAAAAGAAAATCACTTCAATATTAGATATTATTGTGCATAATAATCTAAATCGATATAATATCGAAATACCTTTGTGCTGATTTTTTCGATCTGTTGATTTTGATTTTCGAGCTCAGAACCCATATCCAATGCCATGTTTCTCAAATTACCAATCATCGTATTGACTTGCCCTAGATTTTCGTCCATCTCCGTTTCCCGAGCATCATTGGTAATCCTACACGAAAGTACTTTTGTTTTTATCGGTTTTTTTTTCTTTTGTTTATTAATGTAACAAATGTAATATACTTCACAATGTATCCGCCCTGGGGTGTGGTGTTAGGTCCTTCGATCACACGCTGTGGCTGCTTGTTTATAACTTTGCCGTCTTCGTTTCCTTTCCACGTGCCCTCGTCTTCTTTAAAAGACGTCGACCTAAACGTAATCATTAATTAAGCGTTACATAATTTTATTTTGGCCAAATAGTGAAGTTGTTTCAAAAGGTAAAAATTATTTTCGTTTAAATTATTTAACAAAAACTTCTGTTTTTTTCTTACGAAATAAATACGATTATAACCTGAGAAAAAACTGCTGAATCGGATTATAATACGAGCTACGAGTGAAATAAAAATTCAGCAATTATTTATTTTAATACATTTTAAAAAATTCAAATATATATAATTATTAATATTAATTTCTCAAATACTTTTTGTCGTTATCTTAATATTTAAATTGACTGCAAGCTTTTCAAAAACAAGTATACGAGATAACAAGCATATATAATTATAAAATGGGATTACTACATTTCAAAAGCTTATGACTCACGGTACGTTTAAAATCTTTTTTACTGAGAACGTTATATAATGAGAAGAAAATATTTTTTTTATCATAAAAACTAATTATCCTATAAATTATGTTAACTGAATTTAATTTAATAAAAGTTATAATAGAGTGTTGAAGTTCTGTTCATTTTAAAAGCTTAAATGTTAGTTCTATTCGGGGGCGTGCCTAGGAGGGGTTTTGACTGTACACCACCCCTCCAAAATGTAAACGAATTCAGAAAATAAGTGTTGCTTAATACAATTTTTGTTTAATATCATAAATATTTGCTAAATGTGTTTTTATAATCCATTTTCAATCTATCAATTACTAAAAAATTAATGATTACCAACATTATTATCTTGTGAAATAAATGTATTTGAAATATGTGATAATAAAAATATTGAACCATCCCCCAAATAAAAAAAAAACTCTAGGCATGCCTCTGATTCTATTAGAATAATTGATTAATAATTATTTCTATATGTTAATATTATTCTTCACTATATTAGATATATAGTTGATACGTTGAGTACATCTATTATTTTTCGTATTATAATAAGACAACGAATTTCCAATCATTTGGGGAATGAAAAATGTTTGTGCGGTTATGTATAGTATGAATATAAATCGAGATTTTTCATCACAGATGAAAAGTTCGTTTTAGTGTAAAATTAAAGGATGCGTAGGAGTTGAGTTCCAAAACAAAAAAAAACAAAAATAAATTCTACGATTCAGTCCTTGTGAAGAAGTGTAACTGTAATATGTAAAACAGAGTTCATTGTAAAATTAATTATTCCAATTACAGTAAGTATTGAGCCTGCAAATTGAGTGCGTAAAGCTATACAATTATGAAATATATTCATTAAATATAATATTATGCCTTCATTTAACTACCATAAATTATAAACTCAACTTTATAAATACATGAAGCTGGCTAAAATATTTAAGCCATTCACGGTTGGGATAGTTATGGACTATGGTAATGGACGGTGGTAAAATATTTTTGTTCCCGGAGGCTTTGGCTTTAATACCGTGATGGCTAAGGACTGACTTTATTTCTGCACACGCCGGGATTTACTTACATGAAAAACCATGTTGATCGATTTTCAGTTCGTGGAAATTTGATTCAATAGGTAGAATATAAAAATGTTGATTAAATATATTGTATGTTAGACCTCTTTTAAAGCAGTTTTTTCTGTATGATGTGAAATTAATAATAGACGAATAATTTATAATGTTTTATGTCCATCGATTGGGTTTTCTATTTTAGAGATAATTTTGCAAAGGGACCATTTTGCCTCAGGTCCAAATCTAGGAAAATTTAAAAGGGATTTTCTTAAAGTCCAGATTGATTAGGAATAGTCGACGTTACTCATTTGAGATTATTGAAATTAATCTATTATTCCTAAAATATTTTTTTTTATGAAATATTAATAAATAAATTAAATAAAATTGACTTAAATTTATATTTTAGTGCAATTATATAGGCTACATTTTCAGTGATTCTAATTTATAATTGTTTATAAACTTATTATGATTATTGCCGGCGTATGAAGAATGACATAATTTTGCCCAAATTGACGTCAAAATTTTCTAGCTTAAGTATCGAACCGACAACAAATCCATGTTATTATTTTCTATGGCTATTTACAAATTATCAAGGAACAAATTAAATTTGAATTAAATGTGGTAACTGGTAATATTATATATATTAAGAAGTTTTTAAAAATTTAATTAATTGTCTTGATGCATTTAAATTACCTTGATTGATTGAGGTTCGGGAAATTATATTTCTATATTGTGTATTATTTTTATCATACTTATATATTATTGTGATTATAAAGGAGCCTCCGAATTATTTTCCTTAAAAATCTTTAGGACGAATCTGGATGTAGTAGTAAGCCCGAAATTCTTAATAAAATAGGTTTAAAATTTAATCAAGAATTTCAAATGCCTATAAACATCACAAATTTGATTAAAATATTTAAAAACCTATAAAGTGGTAATATAAATACTTGGTAAATGTACGAGTCGTTACGAGATTAATAGCCAAATAAATAAAATCTTATGAAATTCGTTGAAATACACGGTTTCGTTCGTCAACATTTCACTTCACCAAACCCTATTATTTCATTGGGATTAAGAGAAGAAGCTTAGAATAAACTTACGGGATTTACTACAAGCGGGCCAAGTATATTTCACTAACATTATGCTCTCTCACTCGAATTCGTTGCTCGTGACGTAAAACGGATTTCACCTGGAAAAGCAGCAGCAAAACGGTCGATTTGCATAGGTGGTAGCACCAGTGCCGGATTAAATATTTGTGGGCTCCTAGGTAATTAAAATTTTGAGCCCTACACAATTATATATACGTATTTAACATTACCGTCCAATAATTAAAATAAACAGCTTTAATAATAAACAACTATTATTAATAAATAAAATCGTGTTTACGAAATTGTTTTATTTACAAGAAAAATTAATTAATTATTATATTATTTCTAATTTTTTTCGAAATAATTTTATTGTTACTACCGCGTATAATGCCTACAACTTAATGTATATTTTATTTTATAGTGACTTTTGTCCCGTAAATTCGTAAATAAAATACATGTATTATTGAATATAAAAAAAAAATAAAGTTTTTCGTTTTCACAAGGCCCCTTGAATGATTGAAACCCTAAGGTGGGCGTCTACTTCCCCTAATGGGCAATTCGGTGCTGAGTAGCTCCTGTGCACGTAAAACGCGTACGCGTATACAGTTTCCGAAAGAGCAAAAAGACTTAGCATTAGCCGCCGGCACGCCCATTGGTTAGGTTAACCTAACCTAACCCCGGACGGTGCGCGCGTACAAGTGTTTATTTGGACCGCGGCGTGGATGCGACGCGAAACACCTACTTGTTGCAAGGCAGCACGCAAATACCGCAGCATTTTTCCATGCCGGTCAGATTTTTCTCCGCTTCCTTCATATCCGCGTTTATTTGGTCCATGCCTTCTTCGATCCTATCCATTTTCTCTGAAAATCGCGAAAACAGTTTTACACACCATACGATTACAATAACACGTAACATGTCGCGGAAACGTTACGTACTATGCCACGCACCATATTATTACGGTACGGTCGAAGCTCAAGGTCAATCCTACGATTAGTTTCATACCCGTGTTGCGCAAAAAAGTCTGTTCGACTCAGCAGTAGCAACAGCTTATACGTTTCGGGAACGTTGATCGCATCGAAATAAATAGAAAAAGAAAAATAGACTAAATCTACGGTGCACGCGGACCGCAGTAGTTAAACTTACAATCGACCGACCATAGGGCTTCGATCGTAACATGAATTACCGGGAAATTTTTGATCCAGATGACTATACCGCGTTGCATCATCGTCATTATAACAGTGCCGTCATTATTATACATGATTTCAGTCAATCTTTACTTGCAACGATATTTTTGTGCAGTACAATCATCTGCGGTAATCCATTTATATTAGAGCAATTATATGCCCACAATGTCTAACTATATATATGTACGCTGATGTTTGGAAGTTCGTTTAGAATAGTGGTTACTAATATTTCGTAAACGTTTGTATACGTTCAGATATCGATTTCTCAGTGGCTTCTGAGAGTATCATGTACATAGTTCACCGCAAACTTTTTGAGATATTATAATACACCTTACAATATATAATAATATGAATCCTTACCGCCTTGATCGTCCAACTCCACCAGAGCTTTAATGGCTGCTTCCTTTGTCTGCAAAAACATCGTATTATTCATTTTTTTTTCTTTAAGATTTATACCGTCGCAGCGCACAGTACCTACAGGTTTTTTTTAGTTAAACAGATAATGAGCAAAAGAAATTGATATTATTATTATTATTATTATTATTAATAATTAAATCGTTTTATACGCGGTTCTATACGTTACTATAAAATTAGTTTTCTTCCAACGCAAATTTAACGTGATTAAAATATAATGGGACCCAATTATACAAGTTTTCTTGAAGATGATAATTTCTCTCATTTTATAATGGCGTGTGAAACGTAAATTAATTTAACAAATTTTAAGAAAAGTTGGACTGATCATTGCTCTTTAAGTTTGTTTCCGTATTAGGTAATTTTATTAAACGGATTATTAAACGTTTTAGATAATTTTTAATTTTTTTTTTTTAAAAAAACACATTCATGCGATATTTCTATAGTTCGGTACTTTTATGTACATATTCGACATGTAAAATCGACTGTATTATGGAGAATGCGCTTTGAGCTAAAATATAAAATATTACGTTATTCCAGAATTCCTTTTATAATTTTATTCGTAATGCATATTTGTATAAATATTGAATAAGGTAGTAAAGTATAATTTTATAAAATATAACATCTATTTTCCATCAAATTCGTTATTATTTTCTAAGAAAGTCAAAAACAATAGATTTATACAGAAATAACTCGTATTGTTATATATTATATGTATTTATTCTTCTCGTAACAGAATGGAATTAAATAACAGGACTGAAGGCGTAATCTTCCGATATTGTTTAGAGCCCTCCAAAAACTAATGATTACACTACATAGAATTACCTATGAACAATTGATATGAACTATGAATAACTATGAACACCTAACCCTCTCCCTAGAATCTATTTTTCGAACTGTTGTATAATTTTGTTTAAGCAGTAGGTATACTAGTTTTTCTTTATATAATTTAATTTTATCTCTTAACTTGGTAGATTATAGAAAGCATACATTCTTGTATAATTTATTACATAGAAACTTACGAAACCAACAAAATAATTACTAGCTATTTATCTATCAATCATTTGAACTAAATAAGTATGTAGTTGTAGGTAATTTGTCAAACAACTATTACAATATGTAACAACAATAATTTTATTCTAATTCGTAGATTGGTAATCCGTTTACAAATTAGAGTAGAAATCCTTATTAAAGAAACGTGAGATTCACCAAAGTATGTATGAAATAAATCACATACTTTTTTCATGCTTTATTAATAAAAGTAAACATTATTTTGTTAGTGAATTAATTAAATGGTGAAATAATTGAGTAACTAAAATAAGGTCGAAAAGAAATATTTTCACTTAAGAATATAAATACTAAACATTATATCAGTATTCAGTATATTTACCTACAAATGTATGAATTAGTTAAACAAAATTATTTATAATTATTTAAATGTTAATTGAACAGGATATTTTAGCTTAAAAATTTATAGTGTATATAAAAATAAAGGTATTATATTTATAATTTTTAACTCTTTTTAAAAAGGTCTGTTTCTTTTCAGATAAGCTAGTTTTATTGAATAAACAATGAGATAAGAAAATGTTTTTAATTATTCCTCTTAAAGTTTAAATTGAAGGTATTTAATTTCTTAAATGAAAAACTGATGGTATTTAGCTATGCAATTGATGAAACTCGAATAAGAAAATGAAATATTGTCTTTCAAACTTAAGAAACATGGTTTAAAATGGCCTGGAAATTCAAAACAATGTGAGTTATACGCCAAAATAAATCTACTTAAAATTGTTTCCATAAAATGTTACTTGAATATAAAATAAAATTATTATACGATTTTCGAATACAGTAAAAGTTTCAAGGTACGCAAAAATGATATATTTATTACAAAATATAATATTTTGTCTAAAAAATTAAATATAAAAATTATTAAAATGTATAACATTCGGTTTTAATACGGAAGCGTAAAAATTATCTTTTTACGATTTATGGTATTTGTCTTAATATCACGTAAAGGCTAAGTATATAACTGGTACTTGTGAATCATATTATTTGTTCAAAAGCTTTATATATATCCACAGTATTAAATCATTTAACGATTAAAAGTGTATCTACTTCATCGCTGTCAAAATTATCTCGACAATATTAATGAACATCGAAGTGTTTTACAGTTATCACGTGAAATGTCTTTTTTAGTGATAAAATATGTATATACCAAATATCAAAGCATTAGAAAAATAAAATAATGTAATTTATGTTCTACGATCTGTGAAATGGAACTTCACTGTTATGATATAATTTGATAATAATATACTTATGTTGTTATGCAATATTATATATAGTCTGTTTGGAATTTATTTTATTTTAATGGAGTGCGAGGCAGTATTTTTACTTTGATAGTTTTACATATACACATTATGTTTTGTATTGTATTGTTGTATTACATTTTTGTATTGTTTTTTGTATATTTGAACCGACGCCAATAGGGGACCTGGTTGTCCCAGTACTTCTCCATTGGCACCATTGTTTATAGTTTTAATTCAATAAGACAGAATATAATGATTTCGACGATTTATTGATACAATAGTTATAGGTTATCACTTCTTGTGCACCATTATTCCCGGCCCGACGAACGCCCGTTGGTCTAGAATCTCGTTACTGATATAAAATCTTCCCGACTCGGTATTAATGACCATCCGTTCTGGAGACTCGTTCTGGTCACCCGTGATCGTCGTCCCTCTCTGGTCTACCTCATGCCCGTCTTTCTGGAGCCGATAGTTTCGGGATGAGGCCACTTGATCTTCGAATCTCATTCACCGTATCCGTGGAAGTGCTCCAGGTGGCTATTCTAATGCCCGTGGCGTGAGCTGCTATCGGGCGCGTCTCCAGGTTGCGGATAGGGGAACGCCCTGCAGATATGCAGGGTAGCCGCGAAATAAGCCAATCCTTCGGGTTTGGGCGAATAAGAGGTCGCGAACAAGCTTCACCGCCCCCCCCCCCCGATGCTACATCGACCCGGCCCTTACTTTAACTAGTTGGGGTCGGCAAGGCAGGCACCACTTGTGAGCACTTCACAAACGGGCCCAGAAGGATACTATAAACCACCGCAGTCCCGGTTCTTACCTTGGTTGGTTGGACCCAGCAGGACTGGGCATCTCCCGCTTGTAAACAGCAAATTAGCCCCCACTTAACCCCTCATGACCGTAAATGGGGCTTATTTGGCAGAGAGTGGCCGGGACTGGTTTTAATTAATTGGTCCCGGAAGTCGTCTGTCGTACGGTCCCAACGTGGTAAACGCCTTACCGCGCCAATCGGGGCTCTGGCGTGGCAGACCCCTTCTTCCCTTGACTCTCGTGAGAACTTTATGGATACAATAAAGAAAACAAAACAGCATTCCTCTAACTGTCCAAATAGAGAAAACCGGTAGTTCGGCCAGCCAATCAAACAATGGCTCATCTTCCACAACCCCGGCATCCCAATGCAGCTCAATGTTTGATGACCCCTCCGGGAAAAAAAGGAAGCACCAAACGTCACCTTCAACACCTAAAACCAACTCCAACGACCCGACGGAATCTACACTGCTTTTCTTAAGAAGTACCCTTCGAACCGCTTTGTATGAAGCGAAAATTTCACAGGCGTCCAACTCCGAAACTTCATACCTTGTGGAACTTTTATCCACCATGGGCGAAGCACTTGATAATCTGCTTTCTAAGAAGGGGAAGATCGGGAGTCCTGTCACTGAATATAGAATATGCGAACAATACAACGAGGACGGGTTAGTCAAAAACCGGGACTTTCCGGTTTCTACAAGGAATATTTTTGAAGTAAGAACGACACGTAAATCGATCCAGAAGCGTGGTCGATCTCAGTCGTGTTTACCGGACCGTCCTTATAAATACCCGAGAACGGAAAATCCGGTGGTCGGTCGTTGGCGGTATTCAATTTGTACAAGTAATAGACATTCAAATCCTTCTGGTGCATCAAACCGAAGTCGTCGTCGATCACAGTCGTCCTCTCCGCACCGGCCGTTCAAATATTTGATTGTAGACGAGTTCCGTAATAATCGGCTAGCCAAACGTGTATCGCGGATTTCGAGCACTTACAACTACAACGGGGAATATTCAACCTGTACTTTAAAATGTAGTCGTTCGCCGTATTGTTTCTCCTCATGCCGGCCGGTAAAATATAGAATATGTGAATATGAAAACGAAAGCCGGATAATCGAACACCGGGACTTTACGATTTCCACCAGAAACATTTTTGAAGTAATATCGATCCATTCATCCGCTCAGAAACGTTCTCGATCACAGTCGTATTCTTCGGGCCGTCCTTATAAATACCCGAGAACGGAAAATCCTGCCATCGAACGTAAGCGATCATCGATTTGTAAAATCTTCACAAATCCCATCGGTCGTGCTTTGAAACGTAGGCGTTGTCGATCGCAGTCATGCTCTCCGCACCGTTCGATCAAATATTTGATCGTCGATGAGTCCTGTGTGGGTCGAGGAGTCGAACGAGCATCTTGGAAAACGAACACAACAAACTCGCTGAGGATTTAAAATAAAGTAAACTCCACTCGTTTATGTACCAGTGAGCATAGTCATTCGCCGTCATGTACCGATCAATGCCCCCTGGTAAAATGTTTAATATTAAACGTAGATAACGGGGTCATTGAGGACTTCAAGGACGACTGCGAGGACTATACAGATCACGAAATTGTACCAACGACTTTGGATGAGCATGAGCAATTCTTCATTTTATTTAAAGATTTATATAAGTTCTTTATATTTATAATTTTTTCTATTACTCTATCTAATTTTAATTTACCAATTGTTGTTTGTAAATCATATTGTATTATATCTAATAATTTTATGTTATATCAGTATTAGATAAGAAATATTTTCTACTGTACTTGAGCCTGTAAATGTTTTTGTATTACATAAAATCGCCTAATAATTTTTTCCTACAACTTTTTTTGGTTTTGTTTTTTACTACGAAGAAATATGTTATTAATCAAATTTTTTATTTATTTATGTTCTGAAATAAATTTGAATTGATTACAATACATCAAAATATTATTTATATTGTACCAATTTGTAATACTCTTGGGCTAGTATAGGTACCTACAATTAAAATAAGCATGAATTGTTTTGTCTTATATGTGTTACCGGCAATATGGATAATCCGGTATTTTGCAAAATGTCTAGGCATTATATAAAATGCTAAAAACCACTCGGTGATATACATAATACGAGCTTTGTCTAGGTATTTTGTATAATGTCAATCATGGAGTAGGCAATATGAAGAAAACAAACAAAATTGGACATCGCCTATTAGCGTGGCTGGGCATTAACAAGTTAATAGTTAAAATTAAGTTAAAATGTTAAGTTAATTTAAATTCAGTTAATTATCTCGTTAATTTTTTTACAAATTAACTTTTAACTTAATAAGTTACTTTTTTTTTAAGATTAACGTATTAACTTTAAGTTAATTTTATTTAAAAGTATCTAAATTAAGTTAATTTTAGTGCAAAGAATAACGCAAATTATTAAATGAGGTTTTTAGTATATTATTAATTTACTATTTTAATATAATTTTCCTGTAGACGAAGATAATATAAAAATAACTTCATTAGTCATTATATGGGCTGTATTTTACTGTTATATTTTTATAACATTGTTATTGTATAAACACTACAAATCTAAGAATATTCTGTGAAAATAGTAAATACCATGAGAGCGACTGTCGATGAGGGATTAATCACAAAACAACTGTGGTATAATTTCCAATTTAATTTCATTGTTCAACTAGCATGTGGTCTGTTCACATCTCGTTAGAATTTATAGTATATTGTTATTAGTTTATTAGTTTATTAGCTTATTATATTTCTGTGAATGTTTATTATTTCTTTATTAATTTATTAGTTATTTATAGTTATTAATTAGCTAGTTAATACTTTTATGTATCATTTTAAATTTCCCCAGTAATTTTCTTGAGCGTAAAAATACTAATATTATGTGTGCAATTCTTTTTTTTCGCAAATTAAAAAATTTTAACTTTAAACTAAGATAAATTACTTTTTTTTTTTCAAAGTTAATTTTTAACTTAACGAGTTAAAAAAAATCGTTAACTTGCTAGCCTCGCCTATTACCAATAGTGATGATCAAAGCAAAACTTTCAAAATCTTGGTCTTGGTCTTGCAAACTCAGTCTTGGTCTTGCGCAAGACTCTTGCTATTTTCACAAAATATGAAAAATAACTATATCTACCTGTTATAGCATTGTACGTTTTTTGTTTTGACTTCTAAGATTAAACTTAAGTTCAATATATTATATAGTATATTAATAATATAAAACAATTAAACAATTTAATTTTTATTATAGGTACTCGTTTAAAACTTTGCATTTTAAAATATTATGAATATATTATTTTTCTTGTATTTGTATTTGATGAATTAATTTACCAGCATAATTAACTTTGTGAATTCCTATTAAATCATCTAATTCATTCTTGCTTTTGTCCACTACATCTTCAATGTCATTCATTTTAAAGGTGCAGTAACAACAACTAACAAGGCGTATTACTAACAGATTACAAGTTTACAACAGTAATGAAATTATATGCTGTATAAGACACTAGTTTAAGTACATAACGTTTAGTACGAAGAAATCACACAAGCTATGAACGAAAATAGAAACGTACTTCCAATCGTAGTTCGTAATGACCTCCAGCAATTATTGGTATAATCGATTCAAAATAGAGGTGTATTATGGACATAAGTCATAAATCATTCTATGAACAAGATAACTTTCGACAATTCCATCGATTTTGGGGGAGAAAATATAATTTTTCAGTAATTGCCAATAATGAATCAACTACATTATGTTATTTTTTAATATTAATTCAAATTATTTCTAATCATTTTCGTTATAAATTATTAGTCAATAAAATCTAGATAACTAATGTGTTTTCGGGGGAGAAAAAATGTGCAAGACTGCAAGAGTTAATAATAATGCGATAATGATTCTGAGATACAATATTGAACGTACTAATAATTTTATTACAATATCGTAATTTTTCTCGTCATTTTCGTGTCTCGTTTTAGTGTTGCAACTATGCATACGATTTATATGAAGTCAAATTTTTATAGCAAACTACATTTTTTTTTTAAAAATTCGGCCACTAATACTAGTTTTTTATCTGATGAACAGTATAATGACTTGATAAAAATTGGCCAAGGGTTTTTAAAATGTGTTTGTAAGTCCATGTGTCAAAATAAAAAGTGTATTTGCCTTAAAAATAATATTTTGTGTACTTCAAAATATCACTTTTCTACAACATTTCATAATAAGTAAATAGTAGTTAATTAATATATTTACATATACATACATATATAGTAATAATATAATAATAGATAAAAAAAATAATATAATAAATGCTAAAAAAATTGGTATTTTGCATAATACCTAGGTTATATATAAATTAATATTGAAAACCATATGTTTTATTTACACTGCCTAAAATGGATCGGCAATTTGCATAATACCTAGGCATTTTGCAAAATACCTGAATTATCCATACTGACGGTAACATATATAAATCAGTCATACGCTGATTTTGTTGATTTTATTATGTACTTAAGCAATTTATTATAGTATACCGAACAACCTGACTATATTTATATAGATATTTATTATTGATTATATAAATTGTTTTAGTTTTTATACAATACGAGTATATTTTGTACTGTATATTAATGATATTATGATGGTAAATAATTTGGAATAGGTATAATTTTAACGAAATACTATATGGCTGGCGTGATTATAAAACGAGTAAATGAGATCGGCTTATCGATATACAGTGCCGGAGCTTTGGATTTTGTTAATATGCCTCCGGTCAAAACATCGGAAACGGAACATGTTTGAAAAAATAGGTTACTATAATAGCATGACGTTTTCATAATATTGTTTTTTTTGTACTATATAAAAAAAAATGTATAAAACATTTAAACATTTAATTTTTTTTTACATATTATGTGATATCCAAGTTTCCGTTTAATTACATTTGAAAAAAAAAAAAGGTTATCCAGTTCACTGTTTTAGCATATAATACGCTATTGTTGCGAGGCGAGGCGAATTTGACTAGATTTTAATTAAATTAAACCTTTTTTGCTCTCTATAAAAACTCTCCTCTAACCGTGCAGTTAATTAATTTGTAAATGTAATATTCATCTATTATTTATTACAAAAAAACGGAAGCCGCCGCACGTGTCAACGACTCACTGACATTTTTAGCGAAAAACATACGATGTCGGTCATTATAAAGTGATTAGAGTTCTTGATGCTGAGCAGTTGTTCGCTATCGAGGTACTGAACCTGTGAACTATAAGTTTGTCTTTTTATTTAGAGGGGAAAGAGTTGACGTGATGCTTAAAACCGAGTGGTCGTCATACTAACGACGATTGGACGTTGCTAACGAAAATCAACGTCGGTCGGCGACACACGGATCGGAGGAAATAATAATCCCGTTGCCTTCGAAATGTGTACCGGAAGGGAAAGATTAGGTCACGACGTTACGCGAACATCTCTCGGCGGCCGCTCGTCGACGATGCGAACACGAGGACGTCGGACGAGTGCATCGCGCGTGTACGTACCCCTTCGCAGAGTTCGATCATCCGACGGGTGCTCTCCAGGGACTGGAAAAAAAGAAAAAAAACACCCGGATCAAAAACCGAATAATCCGGAACAACAATATCTGGTCGGCCGCACGGGTGAACCGCGGATGGGCCACGCGCCGCCCACTCGTCACGCCGTAGCGCCGCCACTCACCTCGTCCGTTACGTGGGCCGCTCGCAGTTGCATGTCTTGCAGCTCGTTGGCTACGATGGCCGGCATCGCGCGCGCGGCGACCGCACCACCGACGTGCCTAAAAACGTGCGCGCGTCAAGCGGCGACGAGCACTACTGACGACGGGGCGGACCGGACCCGTCGGCCGAACGGACGCGTTAGTACCGGAGCCGGCGCGCTCCGCGACGAAAATCCGTGACCCGGACGCGGATAGCAGTTCGCCGCCGGTGGCACTGTCCGGACGCGATGTTCATCAACGCGTTATCCGCCGGTCGCGGATATCACTTTGGTTGCGAGAACGGCGCGGCCAGGGGGGGGTTGGACGAACGTGTGCGCGGGAGCGGCGAACAATCGAACGGGGTACGTGCGTTGCCGTCCGGGTGGAAACGGAAAACTAAGAGCGCAACAGACCGTTTTTCGCCGCCGTGCCGGTGTGTTGCTTTCTTTCGCCCGGGCGCCCGCCGCCGCCGCGCGCCCCGTCGTCGACGAATTCGCGCGCATCCCCGACCGCCGCCGACGACGACGTTCCCGGGGGTCGGCACCGCGCGCCACCGTTCGACGATCCCATGCAGGTGTGTACGATTTACAGGCGTTTACGCGCAATACTTGAAAAACATTTGATTTCATTTGATTTGATTTTTCGTCGTGTTATGTTTACCGCACGGCATAGCAGCACGTACGATGGCCGTTGGTCTACGATCAAATACGTGGTCCGTCCGACGGGCTTTACGGTTCTCCGAAGAAAACTCGTCGGGTAAACACTTCGGAAATAATAATTGCCACCTTTTTCATTCTTTTTTACCGAACGAAATCAATGTATAACTACGTTAACGGTGTACATTTATAAAAATTATTAATAGGACAATGAAGTTATTGCATTAAAAAACACGCTAAAATGATTGCATCAAAATATATTAAAAATTGCATTGAAAAAATGTAATTATAATCGATTAAATCAAATATACTAATACATAATAATAATAAAAATTAAATATTAATATTGCTCACATTATTACGTTGCACTACAAATGATTTTTTGAAGTTTTCAAAATCGAATGATCGTCTTTTTTCGTACAACAAATTTTTGTATCGGGGGAAACTTCTTTCTACGTCAGTAGTCGTTATTAGCGCGTACTTGAAGTAAATTAAACCGTTTCTGGTCAAGTCTTCTAGCAAGCCCTCCATTGACTGTATTTCTCCACTAATAATTTTTGACACACGAACAACTGTTTGACACCCTTCATTTTTTTGTAAAACAGTTTTGAATTTTTGGTTTATTAATACGAATCCAATATATACGAAAATTATGAAAAATAGTTGAAATTGCGGTAAATTTATAAAAATCGCCAACATCGCATTTATTGCAATATAATTTTTTTTTTGTTTAAATTAAGAGTTAACGAAATATATTTTAAGCTCACTCAGCAATAAATATAAGTATTTATAGTAAACATGCAAATGCAACAACTTCACTGCCCTAATTAGTAATAATAGTACATATAGTACATTGATACTCATGGTCTGTACGTGACCATATGTATTTCTAGTTTATTATTTTGCGCCAAAGAAAAATATACGTTTCCGCAATTGGGAATTTAACGGATTCAAAAATATCATTTGGAACATTTGATACATTTTTCGGTACGCTGAAATCTACGACGAGTAGTGTCTAGAACACTTTATTGTTTCCAAAACTTTATTTTCCCGTATTCTTGAAATCTCCGAGGTAAAAATATTTTTATAAAACCAAAATACATTATAAATTTGATGAATATAATTTTTCTTTTTTTTTTTTTTATATTGTGAGTAAAAAAAAAAAAAATCGTTAAATAGTGTCTCGAGACGATGCTGGACGGACAAGCATTTAATCTTATGAATATTTCTTGTCAGGTTAGTTGATATTTGATACATGGATGTATGTAAAGATGTAATAAAATATACGCAGTACAGTCTCTTTCAACGGATATCGTGTACCGCAGAGTGTGAACTTCATAATAATAGTCCAACGTACTTTAATTGCACTTAATACGACCATTTCTACTGTCACCAGGAGATGATTTCCTACCATCCCCACCACCATATTTTATCTCGCGATATTTCATAATACATTAATTTACCGATAACCATTCGAAATCCCGTCCACGCTAATGCCGTAGTTTTCAAATCGATTGATATTCTCGTATCAACAATATAAAATATATATGCTGTCATTATTATACATATATATTACGCAAAAGTGTATATTGTAGTACTCGATGCGAAAATAACCGTAACACGTCTTAATATGTTTATATCACATTGTACGAGCGAAAACCAACGAAAATATTCCTTTCCGGAAAAAATATAGAAGATGGTAAACTGCAGCAAAATTAATCTTTTTCTAAAAGTCGATATGTAAACTGCGACAAAAAAAAAATTAAGGTTATACAATCTGCAACAAATCCGATAGAATACATTATACAAACTGCGGCAATTTATTATATACACCATCTATTTACACTATATATATATTTTTTGTTTGATGTTACCTACTTCTTGACGTTCAATTGTAGAATTCGATTCATGACTATGATCTAAAACTGATCCTTCTTGTAATAAAGTTTTTTCCTTATGAAAACCAATTTTGCCTTGCATTTTTTTTTTTTTTTTTAATGCATTCCCATGTTTGATTACCATTTGTTTTGGATTCATACTTAAATTTGAATTTAAAATTATTTAACACTGTTAATTCCTTGCCATTCTGGCTAAACATTGTTGTAAATTCCATGATATTGAATGAATATTTAACTTTATTTCTACTAACCTCTAATATTTGTAAGCAGGTAATAACTAGTATTTTCAGATTTTCAAAAGAAACCGATATTACTAATTAATTTCGTTAAGACTTAAAAATACACTTGGTGGATTTACTTTACCACTTTGTGCGCAAGATGCAACATTTCATAATTAATTAAACAATATACGTACACATAGGTAGATATATATGATGTAAGTACTATAATAAATAGTATATATAGAAGGTATGTATATAAAATAAATTTCAGTTTATATAATGTATCTTATCAATTTTGTCGCACATTGTATAATCTTAATTATTTTTTTGCTGCAGTTTACATATCGACTTTTAGAAAAAGATTAATTTTTCCGCAGTTTACTTACAGACAAAAATACGGGTCCGAATCGATTGCAGGTGTGTGTAGTCTTCAGTTTCGAGTGCAAAATTATGATTTCATACTATTATATTTTAGCGCGGATTAGTTTATCGCGATAAATCAATCTCTATAACTTGTCTTTAACGAACAGTCAGTTCTTATATCTTATTATACTTATCACTTTTAAACAACATTAAACAAAAATCGATTTTCTCCACCCAAATACATGAGGGACGAAAAATAAATATATTATATATTACGAAACAGTCTAATAACGATTTTAGTAAGTACTTTTTGACTGTGTTGCAGACGTCTCAACATTGTTATAATATTAGTAATCGCAACTGAATCGATCATGATATTATAATATTTGGCAAAAAAAAAACGGACCTTTGTTAACCACTCTCGTATTTGTTTTTACGGTTTCTACAGTCCATGCACGTCTATCTTGCTCGTAGTTTTATTGAACTATAAAATTTCTGTAAAAATAAACGAAAGTTATTTGAACAGTTAGATTTTTAAAGTTTACTCTGCGGCTCGTATTGGTAGAGATTCTTGTCAAATGGTTGTTGAGAGAAATAAAATTACGACACATGCTGCTCTCGTGCACTCACGTCTATATGGATCAAATAATTTCAGGCTCGAACGTGAAAATTCGATAGTGTGCTTGTTTATATAATATTATGTAATCGTAAGTAGAACTTTTATATTAATATGATGTAAGTATGTAATGTGGAATCTCTGTTTGGTGGATTTGTTCTGAAAACCATAATATTTTATTTTAAAAACCGTTGGTATTTCACAAAAAGAAATTTTGTAGCATCTAAACAAAATCAATTTCGAACTATTGTGTATAACAATCTCAACAACCAGAGTAAAAAAAAATTACTTCCTGTACGAAAACTAATAAATAAAATAATTTGAGGTGATCATTTCAACTTGATTGAAACTGAAATATTTATTCTCACAAGGCTCGCTTTTTGTTTTATTAATATTTACGTGTCTACTCGTACAATTCTTTTACGCCATATGGATTTTTTATATTTGGGAATTGGGAGAGGGGGATGGACAAATAATATTTTCCTCGAAAAACCGCCAAATTCGTTAAATATTTACATTTTTTCTTGCATACAATAACGTACTTAGGTGTTGCTGCGAGTGATTACACGCTATTAGTGTAAATACACGATAACCACGATAAAACTGTTTGATCCGAAGGCGATACGTGTACCGCACAAGTATTTTCGAAGTTACATTATACGTCCGTAAAACATTTTTGGCCACGACGACCTACACCGTCTCTGCCACTACACGTAGCACCGCAAATTATAGAGCATTACGGTTCACATACATTATTATCATTATTGTGTACATACAACGACCGTAAACTCACGGCCGCAAAGTCATGGTAAATTGTCACGCGGTGATAATTAGTTAATATTATTAATATTATGCAAAAATACAATATTATGTACGGTTACTATAAGCATAAAATTTACTTTGGAGTTATATGGGAAAAAATAAAGATTACAATGTACAATTTACGTTTATTTAATTAAATTAATTAATTTACATTTAATTACGATGTACAATTTTGTACATCCACCCAAACCCGATAATGATACAATCACCTATAAAATACTATATTTAGTTTATTACATTTTTCTCATAAGGTCAATGTTACGCACTACGGAGTGCCTTTTACCATTCTAATCTATTAAGTAGTAAGTACTATTATACAATTTATAATTGCTAACTTTTGTTATTTATAAGATAGCAGTGGTACAGGACCTACCTTGAATATGTACATACGTACAACGGACATAGTCATGTCTTAGTATTTTGCATGTATTATTGACACGCCATGTAGGTACTTGTATTGATGATGTACCTAATTGTATTAATAAAAAATTGAAATATTAATTTAAAACTTTTTTTTAATGAATACATTTTGAATTTTATCAATATAAAGTGGGTGATAAAATTATTTAATTATTTATGATTTCTTTAAAAAAAATGGCATATACTCCTTAAGTGAAGCTTTGAAGGATATGAGAAAAGATATAGGAGTATATAAATGTATTTAAATTTTATGTATTTACTTTGTATCAAAGTAAGGATAAAAAAAAATTCAAGTTGGTAGCAAAGTAAGGAAGTATATGTCATAAACAGTATCCACAGTTTGGATCATACTATTCGACTGTCAAACACAATATTAATTTTCCATTTTCGAAAATAACTGTGTATAAAATAA